CTGTACAGGATGGTGGGCCGACGAGCTTTCCTTTAAAAAGAGTTTGGTGTTATCCTCTATTGATCATCGATATAACGATTGGGAGTCATAAGAAGTATTCCGACGGGCGGCCGACGGGCAAGAGTGACGACTCTATTGAACCAACGGATACAACGATACATCGATATTAACCTTGAAAAACGTCTTAATAACCAGTGATTGTACTTGTCGAGTAAGACTATTGTGTTGAATTGCATGTTTAAAGTATTTACCTTATTGATTTACTGATATTGAATTGATCTATTGTTACTAGTTGATTTATTGATTACCGTGCGCATTTATTTATATCGACGGATTTATTGAAGATTTATTGATATTGAATGGTTTTACCAACGGATTTACGGGTTTGCAGTTACGTATGATTTCATTGATACTGCATATTGTACATGTCACTGATATATATATTAATATTGCATTGATTCATTGATACTACGAACACCGATACTATTGATTCATCGATCTATCGATTTATTGATATTATTGATTCATTGATACGATTCTTTCATTGATACCATGATTTCATTGATACACCGAATATTGATCTACTACTAGTGATACATTGATAAGACTGATAACATGTGATACACCGAGCACGCGACATAGATTATTTTTACGATGTATGATTCGATTTCCACTGTTTTTTACGATATTGATATTGATATTAATTTGATCGTTTTATATATTTTATACCGATTGATGCTATTGACCGGAGATTTGATTGATATTATTGATACGATGGTTTTTCTTTATTAATTTGACCGATGTTTGAAGATACGATCGAATTGACGTATGGATTGATTTATTGAGCATTATGGATTTTCTAATGTTTACCGATTCTCCTACCGATGACTATGGATTTTATCAATTATTGCATTGATTACTGATTTTCGTATCTGCATAGATTCAATGATCATATGTAAGTGACTGGTATGGATTTGACTGATTGACATGCATATTGTTTCAGTACCGTGCTTTGATTTCAGTTGTAGGCTTGGGTGACCTGTTGGGCTTTTTGAAGCTCATTATATGTGGTTATTCCTTTTGTTATAGTTATTCTTTTGTACTCATGACTAGTTGGAGATGTGATCATTGTTGAGATCCTGAGTATTGTAAATGAACTTTTGAGAATGAATATAAATGTTTACTTGATGTTTGAAATTATAGATTTTGTTAGACTGTTTATCACTGATTAATGCTTATAGATAGCTCTGGTAGAAGACTGATTTAATGGATTTACGGAATAATTCTTTCCAAGTTAGATCTTGGGGCGTCACACGTCATATGCACAACCTGCTATCCACAAGCAAATATAGAAGACTTGTGGTGAATGCAAATGACTGTATGCAGTGATATAAGATTTACATTACCTATAACTTGCATAAACGCAATGGTAATAGGCCAGCAATGCATACAATGGTCCTGTCTACAAGCAACGATAGTGGGTATACTACAAAAGCAACGAGCTTATGTCAAATGCAAGCATCTACGGGCAACTGCAGCGAATTCATCAATGCATAATGGATCATTTGCAAGAAACAACAAATAATTATAGTGCAACACCATGCCACTGGATCTGCATCATACGTAACAAGCAGACATAAGACATTTATAAATTCCCAAGTGGAGCCATATGCATTTCTCAACAATAACCCATCTGTAATAAGTAACAAATAATCCTAGAGCAACACCACGTCACCGGATCTGCAACACTCATATAAACAAACATAAGGGGTGATGCAACCTAAGTTCTATAACCAAGTAGGAGAACACTAGGAATGTAACAAGACACTTTCTTTCAATAAAATATAAACCAACACCAACTGAATGAAACTTAATCGTAAACAGATATAAGAAAATAATTAGGAAATCTTGCAAAGAAATAAATTAAAACTTAAAATTAACTACCTTCAAAACAACCAAGAAAATTCACCTCACATGCAAAACCCAAAATAGGAAAGGTGCTCAAATGAAAGGACAAAGCAGTGGTTCACCATAGAAATTTTGATCTAGCTCAAGTCGGCACTCCTATAAATACCAACAAGCATGGCACAATAACACCTTGAAACTCATAATATTTGGAGAAGAAATATATAGGTGGAATGGGAATCATGGAGAAAATAGTAGATAGAAAATCGAGACGAAATAGAAGAAGGAAAGTAGAAGAAGATAACTCGCAAGCTAAATAACCAATAGATTTTAGTGTGATTACACCAGCAACAATAACAACCAACCCCTTCCAGCAACAAAACAGCTCATATATATATATATATATATATATATATATATATATATATATGAGAAGAAGGAAGGAAATGACCATAAATTGCTCACTTATTTATGCCACCTAAACAACCAATATAAACCTCTCAAGTTAGCATTTAATGAGAAGTTAATGCACTTGGTATAGGAAAAAACCTAGGTGGAAACCGAACAGTCACCAACAGGGAAAAATGGGACAACAGCATGGGGAAAAATAGCCATCATAAGGAAAGCCAATGGTAGGGAAAGCCAGCAGCATGGGAAAAAAAAGCCAGCATTAGGAAAGAGTTAGGCCAAGCCCAATATGCAAAACAACCAAAAATAAATACCCAACTAACCGCCAAAGAAGCTAGATCAACACAAGTGGAAACCAAAGCAGTGAAACTTCCTAAGAGTACCAAACCCAAGCATGATCACATGTTGCTTCCAACATAGGGTATTGCTAATAAAAAAATAGAGTCCAAATCATAAAGAGTCCAAAGCATAGAAAAATAAAGAAAACATAGATTAACAATTCTTGATTGCATCAAGGCATCTACGAGCTTCTAAATGAAATGTTGCGTACACTCAAATGATATCCATTTGAGCTGCTCAATGCAAAAATACCCCCCTCATGCATCGAAAGAGTGCTGACGCATTCATACATGCATACATATAAATATGTGCATACACCTATAAAACTGCTTACGAATAACTACTACATAAACATGTTATGCAAAAATACATGTAAAAGTACACGCCCACATAGTCCCTGGTGAGCGTGTTGTCTGCACACACGTGACGCCTGAGGATGCTGCGCTAATCAAGAAATGAACTCAAGTTTGATCCCGATCCTTTTATATGCATAAAAAGGAGTCGACACGGCTCGAACCATCAAACAGATTTATGGTCACAACATCAACTGGGATATTTGTGTCATATATTCATATTAGGTCTTCAAGGGCTATAATAAGAAAAGAAAAATCACTAATAAAGGCATAAAACCGACAACAAACCAAAATCATTTATCAGCAAGTTGACAAAGTCAACAAGGTTCAACTGATGAAGTAAAATTGCCCATAAATACCCTGATGACAACCGTGTTGACAGAGAATCTCAATCGAAGGGGACCATAAACAATTAAACATTCAAAATGTCTCCCAAATGCATATACAAATCCAAAACTCAAAAATCATTAAAACATAACATTTAGAATTGAAATAAATCATCAAACACTTAAAGCAAAATTCATCCACCCTCCGCAACAATTTGTCGAGGTAGACAAATTTAAAAATTACTTTAACTCACAAAGAGTAAATGTCTAGTCAAGAATATCACTAGGATTCATTCTCAAACAGTCTCTTGCCAGTAAGGACATGACACATTCCTCTAACAGGTGATTTTGAGTTCCAAGAGAGGTGCTATGGAGAACTTTTGAAAAGAAAGAAGTTAATAACACTTATATTCAAATGATTAAAGATATGTATGCAGGAGCTATTACTTGTGTTCAAACACAAGTTGATTTGACCAAGTATTTTCCTACTTCGGTTGGGTTATATCAAGGATCTCATATCTTTTTGCTTTAGTCATGGATGTTCTCACTAGACATTTGCAAGAGGATGTATCTTGGTGTATGTTTTTTGCTGATGATATTCTTCTTGTTGATAAGACTAGACATGGAGTTGAAGGTAAACTTGAATTATGGAGGTCAACGTTAAAGTCTAAAGGTTTTCGCTTGAGTAGTTCTAAAACTGAATATATGGAGTGTAATATTTCTAGTAATAGACCTAATGAGGGGATTGTGACTTTAGGCGATCAAGTCATTAATAATAATACACATTTTAGATATCTTGGATCTATTGTTCAGAGTGATGGTGAAATAGATGGGATATTATCAGCAGAATTCAAGTTGGATGGTTCAAGTGTAGGAATGCATCATGCTTGTTCTGTGATAGAAAATGTAAGGGAAAATTCTATGAGATGATGGTGAGACATGCAATGCTTTATGGTGCCGAATGTTGGCTATTAAAAGAGAAGCATAATACTAAGTTAAGTGTTGCAGAGATGAGGATGCTTAGGTGGATGAGTGGCTTTACCCTTAGAGATAGGATACGAAATGCGCATATATGTGAAAAGGTTGGAGTAGCTTCAGTGGAAGATAAGATTAGAGAGAGTCACCTTAGATGATTTGGTCACATAAAACGGCGGCCTTCCGATGACCCAATTAGGAAAGTAGAGGTATTATATTTGACTTATGTTAAGAAAGATAGAGGTAGACCTAAAAAGACTTGGTTAGAAAATATTAGATATGATCTTTCTTTATTAGATTTAAATGAGAATTTGACTTTTAACTGAATAAAATGGAGAAAAAAGATTCATGTAGCCGACCCCACGTAATGGGACAAAGGCTTGATGTTGTTGTTGTTGTTGTTTTATGTGTTGATCTACTTTTCTATTTTCCATATTTGAATTAAAATTTTCATATTCCCCAACATTACTATCATCATGATGATTAGCCTTATCCCACATATTGTGTGGTCAGCTTAGGGTTTAGACTTTCTATGGCCTAAAAACCAAATGTGACTATGATTTGTTTGCAACGTCATTTGCTGAAATATCATATCATACCCAAAATTAAGTCCAAACATATAAGTACTATTCATAGGAAAAATATATTGAATGAGAACTTTCAAGAATTGAAGTGATAACTAATATAAACTGACCTTCTCGACATTTTCCTCATTGAGCTCGAGCCCGGTCTCTGTATCAAGAATTTGCTCAACAGCCAGGATCTCTGGTATCTTATCCATGAGCCGAGTCTCAATCCCCATCTTTAGAGTCATGGTTGAGCTCGGGCAAGAGCCACAAGCCCCTTGAAGTTTCAGCACCACAACAAGGCCATCAATTTCATGAAGGGCCACATTCCCTCCATCTGCAATCAGGCTTGGCCGCACCTCATCCAAGACCATCTCAACATTCTCTTCAGTCAGTGGCAGAACACAGATTGGGGATGCTGTATTCAGTATTGAAAAACTTAAATCTCCAATCTTTTTTTTTTTTTTTCAGCTCTCAAATTAGCGCATCAATGAAACCAATATGTGAATTGTGTTTCATCTATATCAGGCTCTACGAATTTAAATGAACCATTAACTAATGATAGTTTTTCAGGCGGCTGCTTTGATTAGAAAAAGATAAGGGTTTTGTTACCTGTCCTCCTTTCTCTTGTTCTAACGTATGGAGTGAGCCGGAGAAGGCGGGCGGTGCTGAATCGGCCTTTGGAGAAGGAATTCTGGGTGGAGGACAAAGAAGTGAACTTGGAAAAGGACGACAGTGAGGAAGAAGTAAAATTATCTGACGAAGTGGACAAAGCCGAAGTCTTTGCTGCGGAGGTCATGCCCTGTACTTGGGCGGAGAGCAACCCCATCACCTCTCTCTCTCTCTAATGGGCTATTTCATTGGAGTGGGAGAAGGGAAGGGTTGTTTGATTGCTGGACTGTAGAAGAGCATTTGGTTGGCTGCCATTAACCGCTGGTATGTAGCTTTAAATCCCGTTCTGGATCAAAACATCAATTGGTGAGATTACCTCCCTGTGATAAGTTTAATTATTCTGTGCGGATGCCGATTGTCATCGGGAGATCAAATAAAATACGTCACATCAACTTGTGCTCAATATCGTAGTTCGGTATTGCTGACGTGACACATTCTGATTGATCTCCGGATGATGTTCTGCATCTAATTTCCTTACAGAATAACTTCTCATGCCATAGATCGAGTTTGGCTTAACAGGTTGAATCCAAAAATATGAATAAAATCAGAATTAGCCTAAAATACGTTTATTCAAGCATGTGCTTCATGAAAATATTTATTGCCCAATTCTATCTTGAATTATACATGTATGATCCAAGAAAATTCATATGATCAACATGAATTTTGAGAAAATATTTAAATTAAACTTTTAGAATTGATTTTAAAATTATATGAACTTTGATTTCAATAAATTTATAGTCGAATTAAACGTCTTGATGAGGAGTAATTATTCCGTCAAGTTACCGAATGCATCCGGAAACCAATAACAAAACGCCACGTCACTAAAGTGCTCGGTACCGTGCTCGGTACAACGCGCTCGGTATGCTCGGTATTGCTCGGTATTTTCACCAGATGTAATATTTTTTTCTTGATGAGAGGCATTTATCAATACTATGAATGATCCAATTCAGCTCCAAATGAGCTCAAATCAAACATTTGAATTATACTTACAAACTCATGAACAAATATTAATGAACCAAATGACGTATGCTTATAGTTAAATTGAGCAACTCGGTGAGAATAATCTAGCAATGCTAATATTACTTGATTTTGACATTGGTAAGGCATTTAATTATTTGATTAACTATCAATGATTAAAGAGATCAATATGGATAATATGATAGAATACTTTGGATTATAACCAAATTTATTGAAATGGTCAATTTAGAAGGGCTATAAATAGGACATTATTCTCTACCAAAAAAAGATTGAAGAGTTGAGAAAACTAAAAAGCTCTATTGCATTTTTCAACTATCACCATCGTTTTGTCGGTATTATATATATATATATATATACAAATGAGATTTTGAAGTACTTCAAATTGACAAGCTGATGAAAATATTATAAGAGTAATAATAAAATAGATTTAAGTTCAATTTGATGCAGTTTTCTTAATAATAAAATAGATTTAAGTTCAATTTGACCTCATGCGTCGTTTGGAGACCAACCAGAATGTGCCACATCACCCCTATGCTCAGCACCTTGGCTCGATACGCTGACATAACACATTCTGGTTGATCTCCGGACACGTTCTACGTCCATTTTTCGCACAGAATAATCGAGAAGCCAATTAGATGAAATGGTTCGGTCAAAAGTAACTTACTTGACTAGCTTCAAGAGAGATTATTGGCTACGATCAAGTGGTTGCCAATTTGATTCAAGATTGAATTCAGGCCAAAACTAATTATTTGCTTTTTCATTAAGCAAGAGCCAAGCTGTAATATGAAGCAAACAGATTATCTTGACTATACATCTCGGTACAAGATTCCAACATGCAATCTCATTGTGCTATGATGATTACAACTAACAGAGGACTGTTATCATTACCATGGCTAAGACTTAGAGCATTTTTCTTTTTAATTTCTGTAGCGTTTCACATATAAACTGCACTATGGAATGCTTTTTTGATTTGCATAACGGTAATATAATTACAATCAAAATACAGAAATACAATCCTTGTGATATGAACTGCAAGTTTGGCTCAAAATACTACAAAAATGTTCAGAGAGCTCGTAGGTCCAGCCTTTTGCAACCTGCACTGGAGCTTCAAAGAACGAATTGCTTGACAAAAATTATAGCCTAAGTCATGCTACCTTAATTTCTTCATTCCCATCTACAGCATTATAGAAAGGAAAAGACCAGTTATCTTTAATGATCCACCTGCATCCATAGAATGAAAAAGAACAATTCACTATTCTTTTAAGTAACATTTCATTCATTCATTCCTGATGATCAGCTTTTGAATAACAAGGAATTAGAGGAAAGTACCTGCAGAGCTCTATTTTCAAGCCAGCTCTTCATTTTATGAAAGGAAGCCCGGAAGGAACTCGTGCAGCGTATTCTACGTATTCAGGTCCGAAAAACTGTCTTAAAAAGAATTCTTCATATCTTTTTTTTTTTTTTTGAGAAATGAAGGATACCAATTTTCGAAGTTAGCATCCTTAACAATAATGAATTCATCTACTAATGAAAAAAGAACTCTGGTATGCTGATGTTAGTATAAATTTTTTCAAGGACTGGAACATCAAGCATCTGCAAAATATTCTATTGAATGATATTTATTTATTATGAACCAGATGAAATTTGAACTTGGGCTTCGTTTGGGACAGCTTTTTTACTGCTTCCTAAAACTGTTTTTTAGTGCAAATATTTTTTGGACTAAATTTTTTTCACTAAAAAAACTGCTTTAGAAAGCATTAAGAAAGCCACCCCCAAACAAAGCTTTAAAATCTTGATAGCAACCGCAAAAACCATTATCAATTGAATTAGCTGGCATCAATGCCTTAAACATCAAGCATAACTAGTAGTGGCAAGGCAATATCAGGTTGGTTAAGAAAATTGAACATCTTAAGGATACGGTATCCTAGTTGAAAAGAATCGCCATGTGACAGCTATAAAGCCAACAGTGGATATAGGGTTGCAAAGAATCAACTGTGTCCCAGCGGCCCATATAAAGAAGCCACAATAACCGGGATGACGCATGAACCTGTTTAATCAGACAGTTTAGGATTTAAAACTGTTTAATACAATACACAATACTGTAATTTTCAAATAAGTAAACTAGAAAAGAAAACTAGCTCAATAACGTTCCTGATGAGACTACAGCTTACCATGATATTAATAAATTCCTACTTAAGAGTTTAAGCCAAACAATTCCTAAAAATAAAATATGGGGGAAAACAAAAACAAGCCCTTACATGGATCAAGTATATACACAAAAATACCTAACAAAATAAAATATAACCACACAATATAGTAACAAAAGTGATAAAGCATGACAAAAAAGCACTGAGATTAACGTAATAATATTTTACATCCATAGGAGAGAAAAATTCAATCACTTATAGCTGAACAAATAAAAAAACCACAAGAAACATTTTTTTCCTAAGCCAACTACACCCAATCCCAACCCACAAAAAAGAGTCCCAAATCTTCTCAAATAAAATAAAAGAGAGAATGTTCCTCAAAAGAGTACCTTTCACATGTATATGGAATAATCACAATATTTCTGGCAACATTGTTTATGCAAGTCAAGATAGTACTCTATGTTCACAAATTTTTTTCCATCTTCATTCGCTCTCCTTAATTTTCCTGCTTAATTGGTCTGCACAAATAGTTCTCTCTTTCTTTCTTCCAATCATAACTGGCATCCAAGAATTCTTGGCACAGTAAGCTACAACCCAAGCAAAAAGTACTTGCATAAGCACACACCCCACTTCGCATGGGACAATAACTAGGCTTCCAACTTTTGCACCTAAAACACAAAGCGTATACTAACTACACACCTACGATTTTAAATCTAAATCAAGTTTAATTTTAAATTTAAAGTTATCCAGGATAAAAAAAATTCTAATAAAAGTTTAAATAATTTTATAAAAAAAAAAAAAAAAAAGGAAAGATATAATTTGTTTAGATCTTAGAGCATCCTTTTTTTTTTGGGCTTATCTTAACAAATTGAGTAAAAAAGCTCAAAAAAATTCCCTCCAGAATCAATAATGTGATATAATTTAGATATCATGTCTCCTCTTCAGTAAACATATCCCCTCAAGCTCCCAAATTCTCAAAGAGCTAAGCACTGTGCAAGCCGAGGTGATGCCCAAAACACCGGCGAGTGACCTTTGAAGCACATTTGTTGCACACTAAGATATATCCATTGATATAAAAAATGCAACTACCATTAAATCTTCCTAACCTCAAAGGAGTTCTCTCATGGAATGCTACAATAACATGACTTAATATTAGAACATATTTTGCAATGTAAGATCGATCTACCCGATCAATGTGAGATCGATCTACCCGATCAATAGTCTTCGCTTACCCCATGAGTTTTGTTCTAGAACTTGACCTACAACTATGAAGCTAATCTATTTGTTCTCTCAAATCACAATGCTCCAATAAAAATGATGAAAATGAAACAACTACACTAGAATTTGCAGCCTATAAAAAAGCGTCCACTAATTCTATTTGCTTTCATAACAACCAAAACTCCAATACAAACTAAACTACTTCAACATCTATTGAAAATCTGCATCATGCTTCATTAAATGCACTCAAAGATATCATATTATTCATAAGGTTTAGTGCGCACTCGATTCCTATCAATATTCTAATGATACCATCATGCATCATAAAATTAAAAACATCAAAATCAACTAATTTGCATACCACATTATTTTACATAAAAGTATAGACACTAGTATATGACTACTAAGTGAAAAAAAAAAATCACCTTAATAAGACATATAAGATGAACAAGTTGAATACAAAAACTAATGTTCATTGATTTGACTCTGACAGTCATTGAAAGAGCATCACTTGTATATGCACCTGAGCAATCTGCAACATTAACATTTGCTAACTTGTCCTCCTTATATTTGCCATTCACATGTTGTTCCTTCCTCTTTAAAGCTTGATAATCTCTCCTAATATGTTTTTTTTTTTTTATATAATAGAAGCAATCACATTCTTGTACCTGCAACGTAAACAAATTTTTTCATAACTAGAAGCAAACCCCTTTTCATAAAGTCTCCCATATTTAACAATCTCTTAACTGATTTTTCATCTCATATGCTCTCAAGCTTTAGCAAATATATTTTTGTAAATAAATGAATTTTTAACAAAATTAAAGTTTATGATATCTCCACCATACAACATGATGTCAAAAAAATATTTGTGTGTGTGTATATATATATATATAGCAAATAGCATAAGAGTAACAAACCATGATCTTCATCATTATCACAACAATATTTCTCAAATATCTGATAATGGAACTAAATTCACTAAGATGATGTAGTGAGTGTAGATCCTTGCATATGTCAGAAATAAATTCGTTGCTTTTGATTGAATTTATTAGAGATGTTTTTGAATTTTGATGCTTTACAAAGATTACATTTAAGCCAGATTATCGTTATTATTTTCTCCAAGGACCCCCATCATAACATCATCTACTAAACTGATGCAGGACTATGTATGATTTAAATGAATGCTATAAGAGCTTGCACGTTTTGAATAAGAGCAATTAAGATTTATAAACGTTAGCCACTAAACGAAAATAGAAAACAAAAGAGATGTGGCTTAGCTAAGGCCAAATCACATACTAAAAGCTAAGATCACTAAAGCAATTAGAATTTCAACATATGCAAATTAAGTAGATTTCCGATAGCATTCCTAGGTTAACAATGAGATTAGAAAGCATAGAAAATCAAAACTTAAGCCCTACGTTTACTAATCATTGGTAGATAGCTTTCAACAACTCATTGTGCTTGAATCACAACCTACAAGAGAAGAAGATTAGAAGAAAAATTGAATAGGAGGAAAAGTTCACCCTCGCGTGGGACGGAAGTGATTTGCCACTGAACATTGGCAAGCTGCTCTTCGATGACTTCGGACAAGGTGAAGATGATACGATCCAAGTACTCCTCGGCGGAATTGTTTACTTCCAGGTTGATGTCGAAGAAAGACGAGCGGAGGATGTCGATGAATCCTTGCTTGTTGTAGACGAAGCCGGAGTCAAAATCGGGATCAGCCATACATCGATTCCGTAGGGTTGAAGTGTTGGAGACGACGTCCTTTGCTTCCCTTAATGATTCCCCTTGAGAGAAATAAGTTTCTCTCAAGAATTCAAGTAGAGAATAAGGGTGAGAGGAAGCCGGCCAAAGGGAGGGGTTTGAGGAGAAAATAGGTTCAAATTTTAGAGGATGGAAGGTGGAGGGAATTCAAGCAATTATTTATCTAATTATTCCTTTAACTTGGAAAGGATTTAGGAGTGATTAGAAAGAGCTAGGGGCAGGTAAGACAGAGAGGAGAAGCTTTGAATTATTTCCAAGAGAGGGGCTTGAAGTTTGGAAAGTAGTATTCAATGGGTGGGGACCCAAGGGGGGCCGGCCGCATAAAGAGAGAGAGGGGGAGCATAGGGAAATAAATCAAGCCTTCTTGATTTGGAATATTCAATTAGGAAGGACTTAATTAATTCTCATCTAGTTTGAAAATCAATAGGGTTGAATTTTGAAAACTTTCTTAAAATAGATTCCTATGTATGGAAAGTTTTGAAATTCAAAATTGCCTTGGATAATTGGGACCAAAGCTTTCTAATTGAGGTTGGATGAAATATGGAAAGTATTAATGGGAGATTTTGGAATTTGGAGGCAAGAGGAAGGGCTAGGGCCGGCAGTGAAGTTAGGTTCTTGGGTAAGGGGCCGGCGGCTAAGATTGGGAAGAGGTTGGTTGGTTGGGTGGTGGTGCTAGGCCGGCAGCTATGGGGGAAAAGGGAGGGGGATGGTGTTGGCCGGCGGTGAGGGGAGTGGCGGTTTGGTGGTGGAGGGCTTAGGATGGCTGGCGGTTGGGAATTTGGAATGAACCGTGGGATGGAGGGGGAAGGGAGGAAGGAAGAAGAAAAAAGAAATAAAATAAAACTAGGCACGAACCCGGACTCTTCCAAGGTTGATGGGTGATCCGCTTCCCTCTCCAAGAGATTTCTCTCCAAAACCTCTCAAGCTCACACAAGAACTCAATATGCAGAAACTTGATTATAATTCATTCATTCATTAACCTTCAAAAGAAACATAAGGGGCTATATATATTCTCGTACAATGAATGGGAAAATAAAAGATGACTTAGCCCTTTGGGATTACACATGGCAAACCCTTAAGGGTAAAAAAGAGAAATACATCTAAAACAAATGCAAATAGCAAATAAATAAAACAAATACATATGAGGACTCAAAAATAGATCGACACAATGGTGGCCGTAGATCGGTGGCCACGTCTCTGATATACTTTCCATGATTTGATGTCCCCATCATTCTCCCGAGATGGAAAAAAGCTCGACTCTGTCGAGTAAGCGTCCAGGGTGCTCTCATAGGTCTCCAATGCGTCTGGGTCAATCTGCTGTAGCTCCTCGTGCTCCAACCACATGTCCTCTGACTCACATTTGCCTCTCCACCAGACCAAATACCTCTGTCGTCCACCTTCTCTTGTGGAAATGATATCATCACTCAGAATCGTGTCAACCTTCTCTGCCATAGGTGTTTTAGGATTGTTTGGAAGTGGATTTAGTGGGTTAAAATTGGAACCTTCATATGCTACTAGATCTTCTATGTTAAAGGATGGATTGATATTGAATTATGCAGGCATATCTACTACATAAACATTATTGTTGATTTTCTTAATTATCTTGAATGGTCCTGCACTCTTAGTATGTAACTTCTTAACTGTTCCTTGCGGGAACCGTTCCGGACGAATCCGCACCATCACGGAGTCACCAATCTCAAAAGTTTTAAATTTTCATTTAAGATCAGCATAAAGTTTATAATCATTATTGCTCTTTTCAATCTGTCGTGCAATCTATTTATGAAGTTCATGCATATGTGATGCAAATGAGGATACAGACTTAGAAATCCTATACTTAGAGCACATGGGTATGAGATCTAGCGGCTATCTAGGTTTGAACCCAAAAATAATTTCAAAGGGACTTAGGCCAGTGATA